ATTAATGTGTTAGGTGTGTTAGATGTCGCTTTCAGGTGAGGTTTGACATTTGAGCAAATCAGGTGAAGCGGTAAGTCACCAAGATGGTCAGGGAAGAGATGTCCAGAAAGAAGGACATGCAGCTGAGGAAGAATGAGGTCTGGAAAAACAGAAGGTGGCAACGAGACCCATGTCATTGGAGGGAGCGAGCCAAAGGTCGTGTGAAGGAGACAATGTCAGAGAGGTGACAGGGGACAAATCCTGGGGGACTCAGCTCACTCTAGCGCGCAGCTGTAGCACCAAGTGGGATGGAAATGGGAAGGTCTGAGTGGAGGAGAAATATGATCTGACTTACATGCAGATATTTTAGCAAATATTATATACATATAAACAAAATAAACAGTGAAAATTGATGTGAATCAGTCTTCCCAAATTTTTTTGAGATGGGTTTCTTAATAAAGTACTGAGTGAGAAAAAGATATTTCAGAAATATGTGTAAATGTTTTAGTGTTCAAGTTATAAAGAATTCTAAATCAGACAAAGAGCAGGTGAACTATAAAAAGACAACATGCATTTTTTAATTAATAACATCAGTGCCTTTAAGGAATCCATTTAAGCTGTTTATATGAAAATTCCATCAGTAAAATTAGGGATTAGTTTAATCTACTTAATTTAGGATCTGCAAAACAAACAAACAAAAACTCCTTTGTTTCACTCAAAGGGATCTAATTTTTTGGTGAAATTTCACCGCATGTCAAAGTTTTCAGTAAATCTGATCGCTTCTCACTACTTCCATTGCTGTTACCTTCATTGAAGCTACCATATTTTCTCACCCGAATTATTTCAGTAGATTTTTACCACTTCCAGCTTTTCATTCTATATACAATACCTATAGGGATCTTATTATAATATAGCTTTGATTTTGTCCCTCCTATGTCTTCCCAGCTTACCAGAGAAATGGTAGGAAAAAGGAGAAAAAAAAGAAAAGGGTCACCCTGGTCACCAGGATGAGAAAAGACTGCAGGGGTGAAGACAAGGACGGGGCACAGAGACAAGAGCTGTCATCCAGGGGAGAGAGAACTGCCGCTTGATCAGTGTGGTGGTGATGGACGTGAGTGAGCAAAAGTCAGGTGGTGGATGTATTTTGAAAGTAGAAGCAAAAGAACTTGGTAACTAAATGGAAGAGGAGTGTGAAAGAAAAAAAAGAGTTAAAGGAAAAGTCTACAAAGTCAAAATTATTTCCTCTCTGCAAGTCCCTGAGAAAACTCTAATGAGATAGCTAGAGATTATTCTTTCCTTATTTGCACTTAAATATGTGATAGATTGGTATAATAAAAGACTCTGATAACATTCTGAAATCAAGGACATTGAATTACTTCTTTCATAAGATTTACGGTAGTTGCAAATGAAAAATCTATTATCATCTTTCCAAGTGTATATCAGACACAAAATAAAACACATGATTTCAATTTATGATAATACTAGAGTACTGAATTGTTCCCTGTGAGCATTTGCTAAATCTGTCTTCCAAATGTCCCTTCCTTAAGTCTGCAGACATTTACCATTAGAATCCCAATTCTATTGAACTATGAAATTTCAATTAACAATGTTTCAGTAAAAACATAAGAAGGTTGCCTAATTATTCAGAGTCAACATTATATCCAGATTCAAATCACGAAGGAAGTATGGGTGTTTCATGGCAACACATTTCAAGTCAATAGTGTCTGTAACTCGGACACTTCATTTGTTTCAAAGGCATCCTGCTGGCCAAGTTACCTGACAGCCACCTCTGCATCAGTTCTGATATCCAGATACGCAATCAGCTGCTCCGCACGAGATGCCCTGGTGGCACACTCTCATTTCCTTGTATTTCCTCCAACTCATTTTGTCTATCTAAAAGTGGCCATAAATCCTCTTGCAAGCTTTTGCTCTCTCTACCCACTACGTGCAGACCTTTTTAGGGAAGTTCTAAAAAAAAAAAAAAAATTCATCCTACAAAACATTCTTCTGAAGTTTTTGGCAAAATAATTTTTCTTGAAGAAACTTCTTTCCTGTTTCTATTATATTTTTTCTTTGACAATATTGCTTGCTTCAACATTTATCCCAAGTTCACTCTGTTCTTTTTGATCACTGTATTCATTTTAACTTCATGCACTTAAATTATTCAATTCTAAGTGCAGTGATCTTGGAAATAAAAATCCTTTAAAAATACAGCCTATTATTTATTGCACAGAGTAACTCAAAATGAAGACAGCTCTGTTTAAAACTGCTCTTTGTGCGTGCATGAGTGTGCGTGTGTGTGTATTCTTATAAGGAGCTTTAAAAGGTCCTTCTCTTGATTCTGACCTTCCATTTTCAATATCCTTTGCTTCTCACTGGATTGTGAATGCCCTTTTCCTGTGTCTGAAAATCTTTCAACCTTCACCATTCATTCTAAGAATCAGCAATGTGTTATGTTTTTATAGAACCTTTCTTCCAGGGAACAGAGAGTGTTTCATATATATTACCACATTCATCCTTAAAATTTCTCTCACAACACCCACAGCCCCGGCGAAACTATGCCTCGGTTGAAACCTCAATCCGTATCTTTAGTTCTTCCTTCCTTGACTGTCTTTCCTGTAAACTCTGTAAATCACATTTTCAGAATCCTGCATCTGGAGAAAATAAGCATAATTCTATCATTCAAATGACATTTCTTTCTAACCTGGTTCTTAGGATTCACCATTTTTATTTCAAAACTTTACCACCATCGACCTGGTGGGCCTTTGGTACTGAAGTCTTGCCACTCCTCTCTGGAACTTCTCCTTCAGGAAAATGAAATAATTTGACTTGATACCACGTGGTACCTGCTTTCTCAACTGTGTCACTCACATTGCTCTAAATTATAGCTGTGTCCCATTTCAACTTATTTTTTTTTCTACTAATGATGAAAAATTAAAAGTCTAAGTTTTATTTGATTTTTATGTACATGCCAAATATGTGTTTTGAAATGCTGATTCCTTGCTAGTAACAGACAGCATTTGTAAATGTTTACCACGAAGTAGTTGCCTGTATAAATGCTCAGGTCAACTGACTGACGTAATTTTCACTATAGGCATAAAAGCTCAGTCCTACTTCCTATACATTAGAGATAGAAAAACTAAGGTTTTCAAAGGTTAAATAACTTGTCCCAGAGGATTAACATAGAAAGGAGCTGAACATGGACTTGGACCGAAGTAGCCAGAAGATATCACTATTTGCCACTCTACGTCATCTCTACACAACGATCTCAGGTTGAATTTTTTAAAGCAATATTACTTTTCCTCAGAATTCATCAATTATCTATAAAACACTGCATTTCATGGCTAACCCCTGGAATTCAGAAAGTCGCTCTGAAATCTGACCATTTACTTAGACAAGATTGCCAGTACTCAAATGTCAAAGTTTTTTCAGGCTTAAAATAAGCCACTTAATTCTTTAACCAGAATTAAACTAATTAATTACCTTCAATATGTATTTTAAAGTAAAATAAAGCCACTAGGGAGAACTTAAGAGGAGACATTCTACAGAGGATGCGTTTCCTGTTTTTCTGTCCTGAGCTGTCCGGTCCCGCTTTGTTCTTCTTGATGAAACGGCCTGCTCGTGTCAGCCGAAGCTCCTCTGTTACAAACGGCCTGCCTCTTACCTGGCACTGACTTTCCCCTTTGATTTTTCAGTTCTGAGGACTCAGCATTTCCACACGAACTGGCTTCTTCTCATGAAACTCACTTCTCTTGAGTCACTGTATGTAGACCCCTAGGGGCTGAGAACCACATTAAATTAAATTAAATGCTCAGACACTGAGACAGAAGCCAAAATTAAGAGTCAAATTTCAAGGATTGTTTGGGTAAAGCTAACAATTGTGCTCAGCATTTTCCTTTACAGATGTATCACGTTGCTAGTCCTACACTCACAGGGTAAAGTAAAATGCCATGTGCACTACCAAATAAAAGAATATGAATCTCTCTCCCCACGCAATGTAATACTGAAGTAACATTACTCAGTTTGAGGGTATGTGAGAGAGGGAAGAGTTAATTATTTGAACTAAATCCCGAGAGGTTGGTCAAGAGTTAAAAAAAAGTGTGATAAACTAATCTATTTAGCTTTTTATGTAACATCAGTGTTACAGCACACAATATAAACCATATTGCATAAATTAATCTTTAGTGCCTTTAAATGCTTGAATAGGATGGGCATTAAAAATGATACGACAGCTATACCACTGCCAGATTGGGTATCTTATTCCTACAAGGAAGATTCAAAGATCTAGGCAGATGCAGTGCCTATTTCTTCCTCTTTCACCACTTTAAGTACGTCTCTCCAATTTTAGGCTCATTCCTTTTAAAAAAAATACTCTAGTGTGACAATTTCCCTCCAAGTCTCTTTAACTTGATGAAGATGGTGTTTATGCATTAAAAATTATTTCCTAATTAGCTGAAATCATAAAAATGGTATGTAGCTTTTAAGTATTTTATATGTCCTTCAGATAAGCCTTGAATCATTGAAACTAAAGACTATAAGCCATGCAGATGTAAAATAAAAGATGAATTTCCTATGCAAACATTTATACCATATGTTAGCCATGCAAATGCTCCTTTCAGAAGCAGGAAAAAAAGCTTGTTTTTTTTTCTCAAATGAAGCTCGTTCCTCAGAGCACAATTGCAAAGTTGAGATTTACATAGTTTTGACTGAAAAAAATCATTTACATATCACAAGGTAAGTGACTTCACAATGTGAAGACTTCAGGACCCACTGACACTATACGTACCAGACAATTAAAAAACGACACTCAGATAGTTAAGATTATTGCTGAACTTGATTTATTATATACTTAGCAGAAACACCACCCAAATCTTTCAAATTAAAACTAAAATCTAAACATCTTGAGTATGGAATGGATTCAGTGGTGTTTAGATATTAAACTTGACCTCAGAAATAACGCAGTTAGATGAAGATTGTGTACGAAAAAATACGATAGGCAATATGTCAATATAGAAAAGCTTCCACTTGGAAAAAAAATTCATCTAAAAGAAGCACAGATTCTCCCATCCATCTGGTCAACAAAGAAGAAATCAAGGGAGCAAGAAGGAAAGCAATTTTCCCTGCACTGCACTGGTGTGAGTACAGAGATTTAATGTTTGTTATATAAATGAACTTGCTACCAAGACTAAAATGATGACATGCAAAGACAAAAATGCCAAATATTAGATCCTATTCATCAAACTCAGCAAGTTTAGAATCATAAAATGGAAAACTTTTAGTAGGTATTCATTTGGTAACATTTGCACAAAATAATATATTGTCACAGATTGTCAGAGAACTGATAGTCTGCCAAGAAGTCTTTGATTCAAATTTGTAAAAGAGCAAGGTCCACAAAGGACATCAGACTTCACAGGGAGGAAGAAAAGAGGCAAGACGTAGGCTCACAGAACCCACAGAATTTTGGAACTAGAGAAAACGTAAGAAGCTATCTCATCCTTTTCCTTGATGTTTTCAGAAAAGCAACTAGAACAAGTACTAAGTAGACCTTCCTCAAGGGCACGGTGAGCAGGAGGCAGATTACCGTCGTCTCAAGTAATGTATTACATAAAGAAAGTGTGATGTGATATAGAGCACACAAGCAAGTTAAATGTAAAATTATTTTTCCTCTATCTGTATTCATGTATCATTAAATAACTTAAGCAGAACTTCAAAGGATTAAAAGTATTACTTTTACAATGTTTAAAACTTTAGAGATACATTTATCTTAGTATTTTACTATTCTTCAACTTTTTCTTTTTAAAATCATTTTGAAAAACACAGCCTCATGCCATCGTAAATAAAAGTGTAAGTCTTTTAAAATAATGCATTCCTTATAGTTTATATATTTTAACTGGTAATTTAGTAAGATTTTGGTAGTCAGCGTGCACATTATAACTCAAGAAGTGGTGTCACCATATTTGTACCTTTACTATTACATGTACCGTACTAGCATATACGTGCATAGTTACATATTAGTGATTGGTAACATGCTCTAAAATGTATAGCATCAAATGCTGACACCTCTTTCCCTTTGTTTCTAATATGTATCATATTATAAAATATTCATAATTAATTTCCTCATTTATTTGTATTTTAAAGAAACCCATGCCTCGCTATTTCCAGACACTCAAAATATTGCATTATCCAAAAAACATAGTCATTAAACTTAGAAATGTCAAGTATGCTTTTGGGTCTGTGAAGGGGACACTACAATTTTCCATTTGACTTGAAAATAAATCAAGCAGCTACAACATCCTCAAAGTAACATTATTAATTACTTCTGCTAATTACCTCTGAGCCAAGTGCACACTCTGTGGGGCAGAAACAGAGTGGTCTCCTATGTGGTTTGCTTTGAGGGACATCACAGGATCTCACTCCATCAGCCTGTCTCCAACTTCCCCCTGCCCTAGGGCTGGACTCTGACCTTCCTACAGTAACAAGATCTGCCAGACTTTGTGTTGAGCTCAGTTCTTGGTTCTGAACCTTTTGCAACATTGTTCTCTCCTGGGATTGGTCTACGTAGCAGAAAAAAAGGGGAGAAATATTTCTCATGGAAGAGAAACTCCTGTGCCAAACTGAATCTACTTCCCAGTTTTGGCTACACTACATCAGTTCCATCTTTATTGGTGGGATTTGTCATCTGGGAGACATTCTGATACCTGCACTGTTACTGATTCACCATCACGTTCATCACTGCTCAAGCATAGGAGAAAAACTATCTATGGAGAGAATAAGAGAGTTTCTGTTCAACAATATTTAGGAATTTTCAAAATGGTCCTTCCAAGAACTAATAGAGACCCTTAGTAACTCCTTGTCACAATCACCATGAAGACCTGCAGGTCATTTTCACTAAGAGGTAAATGGGAGACAGAAACAATGTTCTAACATCATCTGGGTGTCCATCTGTACACCAACACACACAGGAAGGCCAGGTCCAAACCTTTGGCGTGCAACAGGCTTGGTGATACAAGATCCCGTTTCCAACTAATTTATCAATTTAGTTTTGATGTTTGTTTTCTAGGAAAATGAATCTCCAATTCATTTTTAAAACATATATTTTCTACTCTTGATACCTCCCACAGGTTATTTAACAATAAGAAAACACAGACATATAGAATTTGGCATTTGGAAAGAATTTCACACAAACCTTTGCTAAGGCTGACGGTGCCTGTAGTTTGCGAGGAGTTAAACACCTGGCTCATCCAGCCAACTTCCCACAGTCTTTTTATTTATTTATTTAAGTAGATTCATTAAAATGAGACACTGTGGTTTATTAAGAAAAACATGAGCTTTGGGGGCCGACCAATATTGGTTGAACTTCAGACTCTGTTGATGAGCAGTGATGAGAATTCAGGCTGCTTTTCTAATTTGTTAGAAGAGAGTGATTTTAGCTACTTCAAAGGGCACCTAAGTGGGTAGAGTTAATTACTGAACATAAAATTTCTGCTACCGTGCCTGACACGTGGTAGACACTTAACAACTGCCGGTTCCCCTGCCACTTCAGTCTTAACTAGATGCATACAACACGGTATTTTCAGCTCTTTCATTGCACACTATGTACCTTATTATAATGCTAATAGTTTAGACTGCTGTATCAACCACTGAGTTATTCTGTTTAAGCTAAGTATTAAAGGCTAGTGTAGTCCTTCCAGAAAGAGCCATTTGGACTGGATTACACAAGATGGCTTTGAAATCAGAACAGTCCACTGGAGATGCTGGGAGCACTGGGGGAGTCTGGGGGTGGAGTACCCGCATTCTAATCCCAGCCATGCAATCCTGGTGAGACTGTGCAACTCTCCAAGCCTCCGTCTCCTCATCTGAAAACCGGTGATGGAGGGGAGTCAAAGGAGGATGCTCAGTTGAGCTGTACCTGTGGCTGCTGGGAGCTGGAAGCATTTGATTATAGGGCAGTTGGGGGGGGTAAAGTGTATTACAGAGCAACATGTTTGGGTCTTTTAAAAAAGCATAAAACTGAAGAGAGACATTAAGAAACAGGATGAAATATAGCACAAACATCATTTAGTTATTTAAATTGAAGTATATGCATACATATAGCAATACACGTTTTGCAAGAGTATATGCCCATGCAATGTTTCACATTTCAATGATCGCATAAGAGGTGGAGAATCAGAGGACAATATACAGTAGAAGCTCAGTAAATGCTAATTCTGTAGCATAAAAAATGTAAAGGAAAGAATGTGTGAGAATGTGTAGTCATGCTTCAAGTTTTTCTGGTAAAAAAAAAAACCACTGGTAATCTAAAACAGGGCTACAAATGATGGATTTTTAAAACTCAGAACAAGGTATTTATAATTTACTATACTGTTATTTTAATTTCCTTCTATGACATTAGCAGTTTCAGGAAAAAATGAGAATAAGGAAACAGCACGAGAGCAAATAAAGCCAATTTAGAATTAGCTAATTAACTAAAAATATTGAAAAATTCTTTTTCAGCTTGGCTGATCTCAAATTAATCATTTGTATGCTTTTAAATCTGGCTAGCAAAAAAAAAATCAGAAAGGCTAATTACAAAGCTTAAGGATTTACAAAGGTTTTAATCTCCACGTCTTTTTGTAAAGCTTGCAATTAGCATATTTTCAAAGAATAGACCATACAACAGGTAATATTATCATGACTCGGTCTTGAATTCATCTAATTATCTTTTAAAAATGAAATCTAATATAATGCAGAAAACTTCTAATATTTAAATTCCAAGCTAAGCTTTGCATCTTTAAAATAAGTATATTGAAGTTTATTAATAAAATCAAGTCAATATTTATAACATTATTTTATTGTTAAATTGAGCTTTCTATTAAACCCATTTTTCTACTAAGCACTTATTTAGAAGAGGAAAGAACAATACACCTTGATTTTCCAGAAGAAATGAACTCTTTTAAACTGTCCATCAACTAATGAAACCACTAATTTAATTACTTTCCTCATTCTCAAGAATATAAAATGCTCTAATTTATCATTAGTGTTGTTATGACAAATGCCTGATAAACTTATGATTTGACATTATGGCTGAATTTTCACTGGAACTAGTGGAAAGGTTTGTGATGTGAGACTTTTCTAATCCCAAGGCATACTGATAAAACCCAGCTCCAATAAACAAAAATCATCCTTGGCCTTGCTGTTTTCTAGCTACAACTTTAGGTATTAAACATTAAAAATATAAATAAGAAAGTTATTGACACTTTATAAGAAGGAGTAAATCCTAATTGATTTTCTTTTTATGCCTCACTATTGCTTTTTTATGAATTATTTACATATTCAAATATAAACATGATGATAAATTAAAATATGTACTGTACGACTGCATAATTAGTATAAATCAAAATATTTTCTCCATAATACTACCTACACACACTGATATAGAAATAAGAGCCCTCAGCTGAGGATAATGTGCTTTCTGAGTATGTTTTTCATTTTTAGTACTTGAACAAACCCCTCATTTTCAGCAGCACATTATATTATCTTGGAATGGAAAATTTAACTCCATAAAACAACAAAAACACAAATCCACATCCACAAACTCTTTCCCTCCTCCACACAGAGATTATAGCATGCAAATCTTTTGTTAACATCTCATTTTTAAAAAGGAATTTAATGCAGGTTTTTCTTATGATGTCCTTGGAACCACACAATATGTTCCCAGGAAATTAAAAGTGGAACAGCTAATCCAATATCCTGCCCTTGCAGGGGTCTACATCTGATGCTTCCAGGGAGGTTGACAACACACAGACAGTCCCCCAGCTTCCTATGTAGATGAGCCAGCCAGAGAGTTGTTTGCCCCTTTAGATTCATTTGAATCTAGAAACCTGACATTCAGATACTTAAGGTCAATCATAAGTTTTGTGGCAGCTGAAGAAAAGCCTATCATGACAAGACAGTAATCAAGACTAGTTACTCTGAGTGTCTTTTCCCGTCCTCACACGGGTATCTCCTTCAAATGCACAAAGCGTCTCTTAAGAAGACATTTGTAGAATTGCAGTCCTAGTCAATGGTACATATACTTTTATTTTTTCTTCAAATATCTTCCCACTTTGGACTTGGAACAATCTGATCATTATCTATGAATCAATAAATATTATTC